CACACAAAATAACTTACACTGCAAACATAATAAACATAATAAAGAATACATATATTAAAGAACAAACCTAACAAAGAATTATTTATATGTAAATATTTCCAGTTGAAATCTTTTCCAAATCTACTTCCAATCTTTTCCAGTTACAATCTTTTCCAATATTTTCCAATTCCAATTTCATCTTTTCTAATCCAATCCCAATTCGTTACAGGATCAAATCAAATTCTTTTTTTTCTCTGATATCCGATCCACCAGTTTTTGCTGGGTTTCTCACTGGTTCCATCTCTACTTAAAACAGTAATTGTTTTTTTCTGGCCAGGGTGGTGATGGATCCGGAGTCCATCCTAATAACACTTAGTATGAAGCAGGAATGCCCCTGGATGGGATGCCAGTTCATCACAGGATGCCATGCACACACACTTTCACACCTAGGGTCAATTTAACATAGACAATCCCCCTACTGGCATATTTTTAAGAGGTGGAAGGAAACCAGAGAACCCAGAGGAAACCCACACCGACACAGAGAACATGCAGAATAAGTCTACACAGGATCGAACACATCTCAGGATCGAACTTGGGTATTAAACGCTAATTTCACAAATACTCCTTCATTATTAAGGTTTTAAATGTTTAAAAGTTTCAAATCTGACTTTCTAAATGTGGCAGAAATATTCTCTAATAGTGTACATGTCCTTGCATTGCCACTATAACCTCCTCTAACCTTTTTGCATATCCCCTCTGCAGCTCTTGGATCCTCTCAGTTGTAAATTTCTTCCCAATTTTTTTCGGACATCGCTGTTCTAACTCGCTCAGATTGCTTGGCTGACCTTTGCTTCTGCTTCTTGACTTTTCTGTTATAACTCTTCCCGCTCTCGGCCTTCTTCAAATTAAATCTCGGAGACTGAGAGTGTTGTGACAAACCTTTGACATCTTTTTATTGGCTCTTTTCAAATGATTTTTTTGGGGATTGTTTGGATTGTTGGCTTGTTGCAGGATACATATAGATTTTATTTTGAACCTTATGGGACTTTTTGTAGAAAAAATGTAAAAAGAAAGAAAGAAAGAGGGGGAAAATTTCTTTTTCCTTAGGGGGATGCAAATTTTTGCACGCAAATTAATGACAAAGGAAAAACTGGAGTTCCTTGGACAATGTATTTTCAGGATGCAGAACATACAATGAGGCAGTGTAAGTGTGTGATAGGAAGAAAGAGAATGTATGAGGGTGAAAGAAAGTGTGTTTTAGAGATTTTTTGTGTGTGTGTGTGTGTCTGTGTGTGTGTGTGAGAGAGAGAGCGAGAGAGAGAGACAGAGAAGGGGGATAAGGAAACTCGCGAGTGTTTTAACTTTAATGTTTTGTTGCTGGAAGCTTCTGGAATACTGCATTAAAAGCCACAATATAGAGCATATGTTAGTCTAACTAATGTACAGATGTTTCATTATCATGCTGCTCTGCTCTTCTTTATTGAACACATTCACAGCATGTTAAAGTGGCTCTGCAAAAAAAATGTCTCCATGGAAACTTCAGGTTGAGCAACTTTCTTTAATTGTACCTGAATTAAAGGTTTTTAGATGACAGATAAATGTCTGTTCACTGTTCTTAAATTTAATTCTTCTAACAAGGTACCTGTGGTGGCTAGAAAACTGATAAATGTCTGCATTTTCTCAAGCATGTGGTAATATTTACATTGCATTAATTGGCAGTCGTAACAATTCATTAATTAAAGGGATTCTTAAAAACTAAAAAAAAAATATACTGTATATCACATATGATGTATTTGTTCTATTTTAACAGTGCTTTTATGCTTGATATTAGAAGCAGTTTTGAGTTTTTCTAACATACTTCGACACCTCAACTTTAAGAAACCATAAATTTATTTCACCTAAATGATATGTACTTTTTTTAACCTTGACTCGGCTATCTTCCTGCAATGTTTGTAAAGAGCCAGTTTAACATACATGGTGTTATAATTTCCAACCATTTTATAACGTTATCTGGATAGTATTGATGGTTTATCAGTAGGAATGCTACAGAGTAAGAATTTCATTGTACAGTGTAACTGCCTGTTTTACTGTGCATATGACAATAAACTCTCGTATCTTGAATCTTGAATAGCTATGTGCCATAGAGTGTAATGGACATAAATCTAATCAATTCAGTTTGTAAGCAGATACCAGCTCTCAAAAGGTCTGTGATGCCCCAGCACTGTAGAAATCTTTAAATGCAGTTTTTTCACTTTCACTTTTGGGGGTAATCAGACTTACTACTACTAAAATACTTCTGTGTGGGGTTTAGATACATGTCAAAGCCTATATTAAAAATACTGTTTAAAACAAAATTTTGGATGGAGAAAAAACACGACAGCTAAAATTCAGCACATCAGCTTTAGCTACTTTTGGGTTATTAAGGCTGTGATATTTGATTACTGATTTAAACCCTGTTCTTACTGACAGCTAAGCTACAGATAAAAAGATGTCCTTGCTAATGATGTTCAGATGATGGTAGGATCTGAGTGGTACACCACAGGCAGATTCAAAGCTTATATTTTCTCATAAAATCATTTTGCTTTTGCAGTCGGTTGAAAAGCAACAGCTGGGTAGATAGTTGCATGTCACTTTTTTGAGTCTTTGTATCTACCCAGCTATCAATTTTATGTTAGCGACACTTTTTCTAACTGTTATGGTTCTAAGAACATTTCTGAGAACATTTCTGTATAACATTCCTACATCATTAACACTAACATTTCTATTACATTAGCTTTTGTCTAACTGGGAACTTTTTGTGTGTGACGTGATATATATATAAATGATCATTATGACTACATGAATTTGTCATATGGCATGTTGATATTTTGATGGTATGATATACATTAAAATGGGAGAGCTAGAAAGAGAATGAAGCAAAGATATTTTACATGAATTTATTCTTTTCAGTAAGAAATTGGTGTTTTTTTCCCGCAACATTGCTACAAGTGGAATATTTAATGTCTGTTTTGTTCACTTTTATGAATCCATTGAGCTACAACACGGGTTTGTAGCTGCATGTAAAGCCTCTGATTAGAAGGGCTGTCTAATTAATTATCACAACTACAGCTCTGGGGTGCAGCTAGTGGTTTGCTGTGAGCGTGCTCAACTTCCCGTGAACCTCAGTTTGCCTCGGTGTGTTGATGAAGCTCACAGAGTGGACGATTCATCTGGAGGAAATGTTAGCAAAATGGAGAGGGACAGACATGCAAGGTTGATTGATTGCTTTATTAATGTTCAGAGGGAAAATCTGTCACATTACATTGAAAATTTCATTGCAGTCCACACACACACACACACACACACATCAAAAACATCAAGGAATACAGAAGACTACTTTAGGGTACAAGATAAACACGTTCACTGCAAAATTATTGGCACCTTTCAAAAGAACATTGTATCAATGCTGTGTCCATTTTCCTGAAGGGTGCCAATAATTTTGGAGCTGACTACATGTTCTGTATGCCCAGGGCTAAATGAAACACTATATTCTCTTATACAGATTAACACACACGTAAAAAAAAAAACATACAGAAGACTACTTTAGGGAACAAGTTCACTGCAAAATTATTGGCACTTTTCAGGAGGAAAAGAACGACCAAAATACTATATCCTCTTATATATGCAACCACACACACACACACACACACACACACACACGCACGCACACAGCAAAATCCAACTCTAGGGATTTTACAGCACGTATCTCCTAAAGGCATTCCCACCGCACATACATCATGCATTATACAAAAGCCCTAGCGTTGAATTAACACCTAATGTTCATATAAATCCAGCTGAATAAAAGAAACAGCATGAAATTAGCACTGAGGATTTGATGCTGCATGGTGATGCATCATGCCTACATGAACGCATTCACAAATAATATATATAGCATATTTTTCACTACATATCGTGCATATGAATAATTTGCAGGTCATCAGTTGAGAGCTATGAGGCTAGATTAGCTACAAAGTTATTAAAGTTGATCTCACACATAATCTACATCCCGTTTGTCAGTAATCTCATGTACACTTGCAATCTATAAACATGAAGAAAAACGGACATCATTTTCCACAAATGAAAATCTGTCTTTGGGTCATCCTCATAACAAATTATTATGTTCTGGCTATGAATTGTGTGAATTATGTTGTGGATTATCATACTTAATACGTGACCTCCAGTTAAGTATCTGATGGTATCCATGCTGCAAATAAAAGTCTAAAATATTACTATAACTCTTATCTTTTTCATCAGACGTCTACAACTAAATTCAAATTAGCTGTAAAAATCCAGTTGGATTTTTATGGGTTATATGTTAGGAATATTTACTAATACTGGATTTTTGTACTTACTACTACTGGATTTAGTCATTAATGTGTATTATACCACAGCTCTGCTGAATTCTTGAATTAGATTAGTCCAGAAGGTGTTGATTGATTTTCTGTAACAGCAGCTCTGACAGTAGTTCTGTCTGCAAGGTTTATGCTAATGTGCTCATTGTAATACGTTATTTCTTTTGTTACGATGCTGGGTTGGCAACAGTTACTCTGCTTTGTGTTTGATATTGATTATTTTCCTATAACAGCAAGCCCCATTGTGTTTTATTTCTTATACATATTATATTCTTATTCTGCAGAATATTATGTTTGGGAATTTCATGGAATCCTATTGGTTTTGTGGGAATTGTATGTGCACTTCATCACATTTTGAGGTGTCTTTAATTGCGGGCTAACTATGTATATCATAAATTAAAGTGATGTGAAGCCAAGAATGGTGACCCATACTCAGAATTTGTGCTCTGCATTTAACCCATCGCGCGCGCGCACGCACACACACACACACACACACCAGTGGACAGCCTTTTTTGCTGCGGCGCCCGGGGAGCAGTTGGGGTTCGGTGCCTTGCTCAAGGGTCTCACCTCAGTCATGGTATTGAAGATGGAAGAGAGCGCTGGTCATTCACTCCCCCCACCTACAATCCCTGCCAGCCTGAGACTCAAACCCACGACCTTCAGGTTCACAGTCCTACACTCTAACCATTAGGCCACGACTGCCCCTGAAATGCTCATGTTGTTCCATACATACTCAATGCACTGTGTTGAACGCAGCACAGAACCTCAAGGGTGAGAACCCATGAATTCCTATAAGCCCTGATTGATAATATGGAATTCAGTGGGAATTCCATGAGAATTCCAAACATTCCTTGGCTGGAAGAATTTGGTATGAATTGATTTTCCACTGAACTATTTGCTAAAAAACAAATCAAACGCAAACCAAAATTGTGAGAGTTAGATGATTTAAAGCTCAGATGTTCTTTCTCGAATGAAAGAGAAGAATGAAAGGGCTTTCTTTTAGAACAGCGAATGTGTTTAGAACGATTTCACTCACTGAGCCCAAACACAGCCTACGTACATTACGCAGATTTTATTGATGCTCAGTAAAGCCACCCACGATCTGCTCCAGCCCGGTTGAGTCTATAATGCGAGATGGTGTGTATGTGCGTGTGTATATACACTGATCTGATCTCTGCTTTTCAACGGATGTGAATGAAGAGTTAAGTCTGTTGTTGAATGTGTAGTCTTTGAGAGGCTGTGAAATGGCTTTGCTTCCCTCTGTGCATCACTTCATTTGGCTAAAACTGCTCTAATCCTCGATGGATAATCTGTCAAATGGCTTCCTCTCGTGTCCTTCTCTCCACACACTCTGCCTGTGTTCCTCTTCTCACTGACCCACATTTATAAAAATTAGAAATGTGCATCCTAATGTACAGTTATACAGACAGTTATACGGAAAGGGACAACCTGCCCCAAAATCCCTAATCTTACTTTAAGACCTGTGATAAATTTGAGGCTTATGAGTGTTTTCGAAGAATCAGTCTAAGTATTTTCTGCTCATATTTTTCTCCACTTGATAAACAGCTGCATCTGAAACCTCCTTATGGAGATTTATCTGTGCATATTAGTATGCAGAAGCCAAACACCACTGGATTAAAACCTATCAAAGAAGAATTATCATACAGAATTATGGTCATTGTGATTAACAGAAACCTGCTAATCCAAATGCCTGGCACTTTTTAGGACTTATGGAAAAAGGTTCCATTTAGTCTGGGAATGAAAAGGCCAGAGAAATAGTTAAGTAAGCAAGTAAGTAGTTATGTAAATGAGTCACGTGCACCAGCCTGAACTAGCTGTAGTGCACTGGCAGGCACATTAGCAGTTTTTTTTTTTTTTTTTTTTAAGTATTCCTTTAATGGAGAATTACTTAGCATTGTAATTAAAGCCATGACCAGGCTGAACCTGTGTCTGAAAATACGGCTTTAATGGGTGAGGTGTTAATGCACCTACAGCTTAAACTCACATTTTTAAAATTTAAATTAGGAAATTCCAATACGTGAAATCAGTTTGGTGTGAGAAGCGGATCCGTGATGTAAATTAGGGAAGTTTGAGTAACAGTTATGCCAAAACATGCGCACTTTGAATTAAACAAACTTGAATCTTCTTGCATTTGAATTGCATTTTCATTATGATTAAACTTTTGGCTCTTCTTATTAATTAAACCTACTCAGCTAAGAGTGATAGCGTTGCACTTAGTTAAAGTAGATGGTTACCATTAGACTGTTTGAACTATCTAACCAATCAGAGAACACCGTGGCAGTTTTCCAATCTGCAGACAGAGTAATCTAGGCACAGTTATATACCGTCATATCATATTTACTTATTTTTCATTTATTTTAGTCTAACAGTGTACATATTTAAAATCTAAGTAATGTGACTAATGAGCATTTTGATTAAAAGAGTTACACATTTAAATAGCCAATTTTTTGTTGTTGTTGTTGAATGTTAGGTCAGATTTTCCCTTAGATCAGAATGAAACACGATCTGTACCATACTAGAATTTTTTAAAATTATAATTATCTGTTAATTGTATTAAATTACACAAATGAGGCAATAATTGCGATGGATTGACGTTCCATCCATGGCGTATTCCCACTTCATGCCCAGCATTCTTGGGATTGGCTCTTGATCTTCTTCAACCCTGACTAGGATAAAGCACTTACTGTAGATAAATGAATAAAAAAGAGGTAATACATGATTATATATGTCCAGATTTGCATATATTTAATAAAAATCCTTTTTCAGTAAATGAATTTATCAAAATAGTATTATTGTTTTATTGATGTATTCAAAAACAAGTTGCATGACAAGATTTTATTTCGGGAAAAAAGTCTCCAAATCTGGCTTTAGGACCTGGAACAGTCTAGTGTGCGAAATGAAATGACTGAAAATGTATTTACATCAATACTTAATTTCTTTTTAAACACTGTTTAAGTATAAAAGTTAAATGGAAAATCAGATCTAAAAACTGACGTTTTAATATGGCCTTTAATTTGATAAAATGCTAAAGTATAATTAAATTGGCTAAATTATTGTGATAATAACAATATTTAAATTTTTAAACAAAATAACTGTGATCATCATTTTAACCATTATTTCAGATTTATATCCCATGTGTCTCCTTTTTCCAGATTCCTCAGATCAGCTACGCCTCCACAGCCCCAGAGCTCAGCGACAACAACCGCTACGACTTCTTCTCACGGGTGGTTCCTCCGGACTCGTACCAGGCTCAGGCCATGGTGGACATCGTGAAGGCCCTCGGCTGGAATTACGTCTCCACACTAGCCTCCGAGGGCAACTATGGAGAGAGTGGCGTGGATGCGTTTGTTCAGATCTCTCGAGAGGCAGGTACAGTAATGCCCACAGCAGAAACGTCTCAGTTAACACTTCTAACACTGCTTCTGTAAAGCTAATCTAGTGAAAAGTTTGATGACACATCTAAATCCTTAAATTGTTTTTTTTTTTATTTCGTCCCTCTGTCAAACTCAAATTCTGCCCAGACCACATCAATATTTTCATGAGCCTTTGAAGGGCCATAAAATAAAGCTCTTAAGCGTTGGAAAAAACAATTAAAAAAAATGCAGGAAGATAGTAAAAAAAAAAAAAGTCATCCAACTGTAATATTCAGACTAGATGAAACAAACTGAAACTCTACTCTGTGTGAGTATCTGCTGGGAAAGTATATTCTTCATTTTTCTTTGCTTTAATGAAACGTTATCACTTTGTGTGAAGTGCAGCACACTAATCAGATTTTTGCCATAACTATGGAAAAGATTAGTTGACTAGGTCTTCTGGTCAACTAGTAAAAATTAATAGCTGTCTAACCCCTTATATAGGCTATATAGGCCTTATATCTGTTTTCCAAATATATATGAAAATATACAATGTGAAGAAAGAGATTTAAGAAGAACTCACACTGAATTCTATCTTGTTTGCCAAGAATATGTGTCCTTCATCTCCCATCCCACATCTTCCATCAACGTTTCTTTTTTTCCAACATATTTGTAGGTCTCTATCCTGGGTGATTCATTTTGGGATTTGGCGTGAATCACTGAGTCACACTGAAGACCAACACCTGATGCATTTCTGAGTCATATTTAGACGGGTGTCTGACTTCAAATGCAGCAGACAGGTGTTGATTTTAACACGCTGTACACTCTGTACAGTAGCACGTGCGCAATGCAGGCAGGTTGCCACGTTAAAGGTCTGCTGTGAATTCTAGGTGGAAACTGTTGAGTAGTAGTTACTACGGGCCATTTCAATATTTTTGTTACTCAGGTGGGCCAAATGAAATGACGCAGCAGACCGTATTTCGGCCACAGGCTTGAGTTTGACACATGGGCTTGACAGGAATCATTATGGGGTATATGGAAAACTAGTGCAGGGATGGGTGATATGAGAAAAATGTCATATAGTGGAACTTGAAGGCATCTCTATGATAATATCATGATACACTCATATATGATATATCGATAATGATATTACATCACCATATTGCCTAGCCTTACCCTGCACTTAAAAATATGGTACCGACGGAATCCTCATGCTAAGCTGGCTAGCTAGCTAGCTAATCTCTCTAATTTTAGTTGTTATGGTGTATTTTGGCAGGTTCGGTTGCTATTTATTTATAGGTCGCAGAAAATATCATAATATGTATAGAAGAATCTCAGATACTAAGATCCCACTAGTGTCCTGTGATAAATCTAAGTTACTAGCAGTTTTCCTAAATTCCAACAGAGAGAGATACTAAGGTGAATGTGCTAGCAGTTAACTAGCCAGGTAACTATCTGTTAAAGCAGGAGGGCAGGAGGACTACTGCCAAATTCAAAAACAGATGCTAGGTTAAATGTGCTAGTAGATAACTAGCCAGAGGACATTAGGGCTTTTTCCAAATTTCAAGACAGATCCTAGGATAAAGGTGCTAGCAGTTAAATAGCTTAGCCTTGGCAAAGTAGCAGGACATGAGTGCTTTTGATAATTTCCATAAGAGATCCTAGGGTAAATGTGAAAAAGTGTTCCTAGATCATTTTTGGCATTATATATGATTATATATAATGGTTTAAAATGATACGTACAGGGGTACTTTAAAGCAGGAAAAAGCATATATATATATATATATATATATATATATATATATATATATATATATATATATATATATACATACACATATGCCACCCACACACACACACACACACATATATATATATATATATATATATACATACACACATGTATATATATACATACATGTGTGTGTGTGTGTGTGTGTGGCATCAGAACAGGAACTGAGAACCACTTATCTAACATCACTTACTCTAAAATTCAATCAGATCTCTGACTGGGTTATTTGGCTGGAGGCATTTTGGACTATTTGGACTAGAGAGATAAACTAGATAGATGTCCATCCTGCACTCATCTCACAGAATGCAGCTGAGTGCTGTTTTTACTCGTCTTCATTTCACTCCATTATTGGCTTTTCAACTCTAGTGGTTTTACTTTCCTTGGGAATTAATGTTGTAAATAACTCATATTTACTACCATAAGAACTATAAGTAATATTTATGACCTCATTCTATATTTCCGCCTCACTGATTCACAGGACATTGTCTATAGAGTAATATGTGACTTAGTAATAGGACATAGATTGTGGAAAAGAGA